GCTCCCTCGCAAAAAGGAGAGAGAAGCCTGCCAGACTATTATATGTGCAAAAATGGAAAGATTCTGAAATAGCCACGATGAAGGAATGGTTGGTGATGATGACAGAACTAGCAGAGATGGCAAAATTAACTTGTTTGATCAGAGAAAGATCAACAACTGCATTTATCAGTGACTGGAAATCCCTTATGGACTTTTGCTGAAAAAAGAGAAAAATGAACGTGTGATTTATGGGTTTGAAGATTAGAAAGGGTAGCTTATAGAAAGAAGAAAATTATGATGTAACCTTAGAGAAAGAAAGTAAAATGTAAATGCATTTATAACTGCTGTCAAAAGTGATCGGAAGCCGCTTCTTTATAATCTTTTTTCTTTTTTTTTTTCTATTTTCTTTCTTACTTATTCACTATTCTTATTTTGTTTCTTTTCTAATATATGTCTAGAAGCACATTACAGCGCAGTTCCAGATTCTGCAGCAAATTGCTTTTAGCCCTTTCAGCAGAATATTTTAAAAACATAGTGGGACAGTATGAAATAATGATAATCCCTCACATACATAGCATATATGGTCCTTGATCACTCCTGCTTGATTGCTCCTATCAATGTAGGGGTGGAGGGAAAGTGGAAGCTAAATAAACTAGGAAGCTCTGTCCAGGGTTATTTAGCTACATGTAGAAGCTAGGACCCCTAACATGTTTATTTATTAATTAAATTTATATACAACCTGACTCCCAACAACTGCACAGTTCACAAGTTTTAAAAAAATAAACACGTTCAGCCCCCAACCCAAAGTTTTAAACTATAGAAACCTAAATTATGGATACTGCTTCTTGGCTTCTTTAGCTACTCCTGCTGGTGGAAAGAAGCAAATAGGAATGTTCAGATACTATGCACCAGAATATTTATTCAATCATTATAAACTGAAGTTATAAAGAATTGCAGCTTATCATTTAAAACAATTTGAATACCAGTTTTCACTCTAAACATTCAAGAATCCATGCTCATCCATTTTGAGAAAATCCATGCTCATCCATTATGAGAAAATGTAATATTTATTTGAGGTTATTATAGTTTTAGATTTTAATAGCACTATAAGTCTTTTTAATATGGTTCTGCATTTCAGTTAAGCAAACTAATGAGCATCTGCAGGCAATGGAAAATGACAGCATCATCACAAATATGTCGCTATTTTGGCTTCATCAGTTTCATGGTTTGTTGTAGATGTGCAGAGACCTGAAGCTTTCACTCTATATAAATTTTAGCTTTAATGACATCATGAGAGATAATTATGTATTTGCTGGGTTCACACATCAAGCTCAGGCATAATGTGGTTGGTCTGGTTTTGACATAGAGTAAGGTAACATACAGCAACTGTGATTTGTAAGCCATAGTTAATGGCTTAACATGTGTATATCAGACTACTATGGTTAAAACTATGGTTAAGCAAACCACAGTTTAGCACCATTGCAGGGTAACACCTCTCCTGAAGTTGCTGTATAGGCTACCAGTAGGTTTCCAGGCCCAATTCAAAGTGCTGGTAATAACCTACAAAGTTTTTTATGCTATATATAGCACAGCATCATATTAGGCACTGCCTTGTCAGAATTCAATTTGCCCATTGGGAAGGCCTGTTAAGAGTACCCCTTTATTTGAAGTTAGAGGGACATGGATCAAATGAGAGGTCTTTCCTGTGTCTATTCTCAGACTCTGAACACCCTGCCACCAGAAGTTTGTAATGCCCCGTCTTTCATGCCATTTACAAAGAACACACAATTATTTTATTTTGTTCAACCCTAGTTAAATGTTACTGGCATCCATCTTGGAGAAGAATCGGTATACAGGTGGTCCTCATTTAACAACCACCTGTATAGCGACAGTTCGAACTTACAATGGTGCTAGACAACTGGTAGTTATGACCGGACTTTGTACTTATGGCCATCACAGCATCCCCACAGTCACGTGATCGCGATCCAGATACTCAGTGCCTGGATCGCGATTACAATGTTGCAGCATCTCAAGGTCACGATTGCAATTTGCAACCTTCCCTACTGGCTTCCCACAAGCAAAGTCAATGGGGAAGCCAGCAGGAAGTCGGAAGTCATGGCCACAAGGCCTCACTTAATGGCCCACACAATCCTTGTTTAATGATGGCAACAGGGACTGCTGGAACTGCTGTTGCTAAGCAGTGCAGTCACATGGTTTTTCCACTTATGACCATGTTGTTTAACGATGGAGTTTCTGGTCTCAGTTAGCATAGTTAAACGAGGACTACCTGTATTATTATTTTAAAAAAAATAATGTGTTGTAACCCACCCAGAGACTTTTGATTGGGGTAGGTTATAAAATTGTAAAATAAATAAAATAATGTACAAGCTAGGTTACTGAGGTCAACAGAATACGGATACAGCTACTAGACCTGGACTACAACAATCCAAATGAAACTAGAGGGCAGCTAAGAGTTTTCTGTAAAGCTTTGCTCCCACCTATGATCATCTGGATTTTTGCAGCCTAGATCTGACAGCCTTAATAAAGGCCAAGCTGATTCATTAATTTCTCTGGGCCAAACAAACATCTTGTGATACAATAAGTGAGGCAAGACTTGGCACCCACCTTACATGCTATATGGCCTGATCTTGAGACCTGCAATTCACAAATAAATTATTCTGCTATCACAGTGACAAACAATTAACTTTTACTTATTTCTTTAAATTCATGTTAGTATCTTGTCAATAAATTTCTCCAGCTATAAATCACAAAACAGCCCACACTGTATCACATGAAATGATATTACTAATAAGAAAAGCAATAAAGATTTTGCAAACAATACTTGTCTTATAGTTTGAACCTGAATAGCTGATTTTTCTTATACAATTAGCCAGTGAGAATTGAACCAAATCCGAATTGTGAGATTGAGGAAAAAGGAAAAGAGGGCTTAACAATTTACATCTGTTATGATCCCAATTAGAATTCCTTTTTTAACCTTACTACAGGTAGTCCTCAGTTAACAATACCAATTGGGACAGGAATTGCCATCACTAAGCAGTATAGTTGTAAAGTGCAATGTGACGTTGTGTTTTACAACTGCATTGCTTAGCGATGACTAAGCAATGACTTCCGGTTGCCGTCCTTAAGCAAATCCTGCACCATTATTAAATGAGGACATTATGCGGTCACCACTGCAACCTCCTGCCAGCTTCCCCACTGACTTTGCTTGAAGGAAGCCAGCAAAGAAGGTCGCAAATGGCAACCATGTGATCGTGGGACACTGCAACAGCTGGAACTTTGAGGACTGGTGTTAAGTACCATTTGTTCATCACTGTCGCAAGTTTGAATGGTCGCTGAATGAGTAATCATTAAATGAGGACCACCTGTATTTGAGATCATGTCAATTATTAATTGGATTGTAACCTATCCCAAGATTATCTAGATAATAAGCCATAAGTATTTTAAACAAAATTAAATAAATTAGAACTATTCTTCCATTATGAATAGACATACTGGGAAGTAGGGATTCCAGTTATGAGCACAGTTGGAGTTAAAACTCTCTGGGTTATCTTATTCCAGCTAATTAGCTACACAAGACTATGCATGGGGATGGGGGGGGGCTTAACATAACAATATGTCCTTGGAAACTGAGTTTTACAACTGAGTGTATTGTATGATCACAGCCACTTGCTCTTTAAAATCCTCACAAAATTCTCCCAATTTATAATATAACATGAACTCTCTGACTTCATTCAAATGATTTCTGAACTTGTTTTTCCCTACAACAGGTTAAAGCCCTATTTTGAATACTGCAAGGAATTTTTCTATACACTTTGTTAAACCAAGATGTAAATCACAGTTTAAAAACCACAACAGAACTCAAGTAATTTTTATGGCTTAGCATTTATATTTGAACTTGGACATTATGACAGAGTAAACAAACTATAATTCTGAAAGCACGGCTTGGTATAATATATGAAACCAGCTGTTAGAGCATGAAATGTTCATTTCACCCAATATAATATTACAATTAATTATTATATATTGGTTGGTTACATGATACCATCATGCCATCTGGGTATTCTATTTACCTGGGGTTTTGGGGGTTTATAGGAGTTGTAGCCCACAATACCTGTAGGGTATAAGTTTGGTAATGTGTTTTTTCTCATATATTACTAATCATTTTGTTTTATCAAAGAAGAAAACTAGACAAGTTGAGTATGCTTTGCTCTCAAGGCAATCAAAATATTAGCATTCTTCTTGTTTTCTTGTATGTGCTTCAATTATTTTAGAATCTTCATTTTAAAGACAAGCTAAGGAGTTGTGTCAGGCTTTCGTCATCTTTTCCATTCTCAATTATTCCAAAACATTTGGATACTCTATATGAGATACACAGAAGATACAAAGACAGCTGTTACAAAGGAATTTGCAAATTACTACAAAATTAAACCAGAGACACTTAGTACTGTAATTTTAGAACATGTTGATAATATGAAATCCTGTCAGGACAGAAGACTACCTATCTCCATTACAAAGCTCCTCTTTATTGTAACCGTATTTTCTTACACATTAGTAACAGCTATTCTGAGGGTTTTAAGGATAAAGCCGCCTCCTAGTCCAGCTTGACTCTTAAGGATGCACCCACGAGGCTTTCCTCTCATGATACAGAAGTGGTCTGTGACTACCTTCTTACGGAATATTGTTTCAGTTTCCTACCTAGAACTGATACCTTTTAAGGAACTACAACACATTTTCATAAATGCAAAACGAATCATCTTCATTCGGGATATCTGCGTGCCCGCGCGGGCAAGACGAAAAGCTGTGAAATGCAGGAAAGGCACCGTTACGCGATCTTTACAAAACGCTTGCGCAAGCAAGATAAATAAAAAGACCTGTAGGTATAAAAAAGACAATGGTTACTGAATCAAGGCATCCACCCAAGGCCCGGCTTTACATTTTTCCCGAACTCGGTTCGATATCACATCCATGCTTCCAGCTCCTGCCCTGCCTCTCCCCATTACCTGGTCGCCGGGTTCCTTTTCCAGCAACTGGGAGCACAGATCCGAGCAGAGCTGGAATTTCCTCCGCCTGAAGTAACTCAAGGCGTGCAGCAACGGGTCCATTTCCAGCCCCATGAGCGGGTCACACGGCAAACGGCTAACAACAAAGCCACGCTACCCTTCCCTCCTGCCTAGGCCCGGCGTCGCAGCTTCGCTTTGCCCAGCAACGCTAACCAGGGGCCTTGGAGAAGCAAAGGCGACTAAGTAACTGCCTGAAGAGCCAGAGACTGGGAGCGCGAGCTTGTGTTGATCGGCTCTTCCCTCTTGTCTTTAGGGGGGGGGGGGGCGGGGAGGCAGGGGAGTTGAAGGGCTTCTTTCAACGCCAGCAATGGCTGCTGAAATTTTTCGGGGTTGCGGGCCGTGTCCTATTTCTCTGCCTTTATGCTTGATTTCCCCCACGGGAACATTAGGGGTTTCTGACAGGTTTCCTCTCGTTACGTGGCACGAGAAATGCTAAAGTGGCAGCTTTTTGTAGCGTGCAACATTTTTCATGTGTTGATGGTTTATGATTTGAACTTTATGAACTTTGCAGAGGAAACTACTTGGGGAAATAGAGTTAAAACAATTTTATTTCAATAGCTATTAAAGAATTATCTTTGATTAGTCACAAGAAGATAAATGCATTTCGTGATTTTTAGCTAAATTAAAACTTGAGAGGCTAATTTATTGCTTGATGTGAGAATGTACTGTGTGGTTAATTTATAGTTCAGTATGTTATGCAAAATCTCAAATTAGGTTAACTCTGGAAAATCTGGGGACAATTTGTCTCTGCTTAATCTACTTCAAAGGGTTGTTATTATTATTAAGGATAAAATGGCGATGGGAACAGGGAGGGAACTGTCCTTCACCCCTGCCTGAATCCTAAAGCCTACTTAAACTAATAATCTGATTTAGTGATGTTTCACACATCAAGGTAAAGTGCAATTTCCTTAACTGTGGTCTATTCAAGAAACCAAAATGAGGTGAGGAGTTCAAAGAGCCTGACAAACAACATTTGGATTTGGATTTAATCCCCCACCCTTCTGAGATTTATTTATTTATTAAATTTGTATGCTATTTGTACGTATGTAGATCAACATTGGAGGTCCTTCCCTGCTTGTCTATTTGTCAAGCCCATTGGGCTGGTGGTCATGAGGTATAGAACTCTTTTAGTAGTGTCCCCCTCCCCCCCCCAGTTCCAATGAATGTCAACCAAGATGGGTCATTACAGGTCTTCAAGTGAGTCCTGAAATCTTACCTATTTAACTATTTATAAATTTTATAAAGCTAAAAACCTGTTTCAGTTAAAACTGACTGACTCCCATCTTTGTATATTCAGATCAAAATAATTAACAAATGAACATAATAACAATGTAACATGTCCATAGAACAAACAGTATGTAAAAACTGGGAATATGCAACTAACAACAGCCCAATGTTAGAAACACCATTCTTTGCCAGAAGGACCAGTCACAACATTCCAGTCCTCAAGGCCTGATAAAACATCCATGTTTTTATTGACTTTCTAAAAATCAGAAGGCAAAGGGCCATTTAGACAAGCAGGGGCAAGCTATTCCACAAAAGTGTGGTCATAATTGAAAAGGCACTCTTCCAAGTTCCCTTTAGATGGCTATCCCTGAGGGAAGAGACCTAGAATGTGCCCATCCTACTTGATCTTATGGGTAGATAGTTGTTACTAAAAGAAGGTAGTCTCAAAGATGTTCAGCACTTGAAGCGCTTTAAAATAGCATCTTGCGCTCAGAAGCCAACTGGTAACCACTGCAGTATTTGAAGCAGACTGTTACATGAGTTACTAAGGTATGCTCATAATCACAGCATTCTGAACTAGCTGAAGCTTATGAATACTCTTCAAAGACAGGCTCATGTAAAACACATTGTAATAATCCAACTGATTGTTATGACTGAGTTATAACTTTATAGTGCCATTCTGATATTTCATCTGTTTAAGTCATTGATTTATCCTTGTCTTATTGTACCAATTAATTAATTAATTATGGGCCACCAAATCATTGCCTCTTAGCAATCTATAGATAGGTTTTCTCCATGACAATCTGTCCCTAACCTGGTCTTTCAGGTCTTCCAAACTGAGTATCTACCTTGCAACTGGTTGGTCTTCTCTTTCCTTCCACCTTTCCCAGCTTTAGAGCTTACTCCAGAGAGCTAGGTCTTCACATAGTGCATAGTAGGATAATTTGGGCCTGGTCATTTGTGCCTCAAGTGAGAACTCTGGATTGATTTGTTTGATGATCCATTTGGTTGTTTTCTTGGCTGTCCATGGTATTCTCAGGAGTCTTCTCCAATACCAAAGTTCAAAAGCGTCAATACTCTTCCTATCCTGCTTCCTCAAAGTCCAACTTTTGCTTCCATAGAGTATCACAGGGAATACTATGGCTTGCATGATTCTGATCTTTGTAGATATTTAATATCCTACAAAATTGTTTCTTCTTTGAAAAATTCACCCCCCATAATTTAATTTGGTTTTCAAATTTTCCTAAACTATCTTGTTCCAATAATTGTTTGTCTCTACTGCCATCTGTTGTGAATGCACCTTCCTTGCCAGTAACAGACATTCACAGACTTAGATATCCCCATATCCACAAGGGAGGATCTTCTTTGTCATGTACACACAGATTATCACAGCCTCTGCCTTCTCGAGGTATAGGAAAGTGGTTATCCTTTTAAAACCAATAAGTTGATACTGGGCTATGATTGAAAAAAAGAGGAGACTAACATCATTCCCAGAACCTCAGATTAAAGTTGGAATTTCAGGAAAAAGAGATGATTAGGTAAAAGGAAACAGGGGCCTTTACTTCAAGAAAATTGATTATTTGTATACACAGAGGTATATGTTCTAGCCAGAATTTCTGTCAGTTACTTTTTTTCTCAGTAGAGTTAAGATCACTGAACTTGGAAGGACATAGAATGCAGAATTCCTTATTGTTATTGTTAGTCATGTTGCACCTCAGTAAAGGAGTGATAACATGACCCATTTACAAGTTCATTGACTCTTGTTTATACTTGTCTGAAGATGAAGTTAGTTATTGTTGACATATTGCATTTTTGTACATTATTTACAGCTGGCTATGTATTTAGAAAAGTATTTATCACACGGAAAATGGCCAAACAAAGCAGATTTAAATAAGGTTAACCAACAATCATATTCAATTAACTATTATTAGGAGGAGGATGCCACTAAAATGTCACCTGGAAGATAGGTGGTGGCAGCAGGAACTACCTAGCCACTATCCCAAACAGGAGGTGGGGCCAGGATGTGGAGATCCACAGGGCTCCTGAGAGAGGAAGTTGGAGACCTCCAGCCTTCTACTATATGGGCTGAACCAATTCTGCTACATTATCCTTTCTCAGTGAGGACAAATGAGATGCTTAAAAGTACCTTATGATGATAACTTGGCAGTGAATTTAGCAAACCTCTTTTAATTATTATGGATCTATTTAAATCCTGTACGCAAGTATTATTAATTCATTTGTTATATTTACTGAATTTCTAAATAGTTTGTTTCCCATTGCAGTGGTTCCCCATTTACTTAAGACAGTCCCACTAGAATCTGCCCATCCATATCACACAGTGCATTAACCCCATATGGTATTTTTATGTTTTATTTCAAGATCTCTGTTAAACAATTCCTCCATGGTACTCTATTTTTAACTGTATTAAGTGTTCAGTGGAACATTTATATGAATCAATACGTTCTTAATTGAAACACTTTAGAATTTCGTTTTATTCAGTATGTGCTATTATTCTTATTCAATAACATCTAAAAAGGGGGAAATTAATAATTAAAGTATTGTTTAAATGTTGTTTTGGTTTACAAAATCTTAAACCACGATGTGCTTTATCTTCTATTGCAATCAGAAACCAGAATTTAGAAGAGTTCTGTATCTAATTATGTTGTCAGTTCAAATCAGATTTGGCTGAGAGATGGAAATCAGATTTTCCATGAAAAAACATTCATAGGAAAAGCAGCATAATTAACTGAATCTGGCATTATTTTATTTATTTATTTGTCATTTGAAACTATGTTGAGGTTTTCATATGCGATATATGTTGTTGGTGTTTAATATAAACATTTGCATCTAGTAGATGTCGTACGCCTATTCATAAAAAATAGCCATGTTATGCAAGTGTGCTGAATGTTTTTCACAATGCTTTTTGTACCTAATGATTTGAAGGATAGTGCTGAGGGGGGAAATGTAAAATAGCTACATTTTTTTAAAAATCACTGCTGGGTGTTAGTAATTTGGTCTACTTCATCTGCCTTTAGAAAAAGAATTAAGATTAATCTCTTCAGTCAATACTCTGAATTAGTTTATGATGTTTGATCATCTTATTTAAGGGAAAGATTGGGGCATTTAATACTAGTGGATTAAAACATTAAAATGAAAAATGATATTTTATCATTCAGGACACATTTTCATTGGCTTTTAGAAATATTAAGTCTGTATGCTTATATATAAATTCTGCAACATTAGATATTTACTCAGAGCTTTATTGTGACTTATTCCCTAATGCAATTGTAGTATATTAACTATTAGTTGGGATCTTAGAAATTGTCTGATACATTAGGGATTCCTTAGTTTTGAACTTTGCAACTATATAACATATTTATGCCAGAAATAATTTCTCCAATTCCTGTTTGCCAACAAAAAGCAATTTACATCGACAAATAGTTAATGAATTCCAATATAATAACACATAATGTAAAATATGGAAAGCAGTTATATTAGAAATAGATAGATCTCTTCTTTGCGAATGCATAACATACAAATAAAGTAAATAAAATAAAATAACTCAGGAATTTTGCCATTTACTGGTAAATAAAATATACTTAGCTGGCTGTATATTCCAAAGATCTTTCCATATAGAAGCTTGATATATTCATATGCTCTCTATGCATATGTAAAAAGCTTGTTAATCTTTTCATGATTCTCAGCTGCAAAGCAGATGGAGAATTAATTCTGTCAGGAATAATGCAAGATAGATTTTGTGTGCAGATAGCCTGGGTTTACTGCACCATTAACCACCTAGAGCAGTTCCATTGTGTACAATGCATCTCAATCAGCTAATTTTAATGCAAGCTGAGCCTATCTGTAGTCTAGCCATTCTCTTTATTTCAGTTTTTCTGTAAACTGGGAAAAA